GACAGACTCTGGACTTATCAGTCCTAACCAGCCAAGGAGGCAGAACTGTTTATTATGATCAAAGATAAATGGCATTTGGTAACAACACAAAGCCATCACTCTGAAAACATGTTTAAAGCTTTGGAATTCTAATGCTGGAACTCTTTTTAGGGTTTGGCAGTGTTTCTCTGTTTTTCCTTAGGAGAATGACCGCATCAGATATGGTTAGCACCTTCTGTTTCAGAAAATAACTGAACGTCCAGTTCTCCTGAGCTGGGTTCTAGGTAAGGAATAAATAATAGAAAAAAAAAAAAAACAAAACACCCTGGGAACAAAGCTGGTTTTCATTGAGAAAATTTCCTCTGCTTCTAAAAACAAGATTATGTTAGGAAAACAGAAGACCTGAACCAGAGACTAGCATCCTTTCCTACTGTCGAAAGTTCACGCTGTCACTGTTTTTCCAGTGCTGTGGAGGGCAGGCACAAACACAAACCTGTGTGGTCCCTTTTGTGGGGCGTACAGTGGAGTGGGTGAGGTTATGCGGAGGGCAAGTCGATGTTGCCCTTTCCTTTTCTAAAGTCTGGGTACAGGCTACATATTTTTCCTGACTGAACAGTAATTTATTTACCTGTCACTCAGTTCACTGTAGTTACAATTAAGGATCATACAACTTGGATCTTTTTCTAAACATATCTAGGATATTTATGAAAGTGTAGAATAAAAAGAGATACAAAAATGTATGCTAAGAAAAAAATTGACATTTAAAAATAGTATTATTAATTATCATATTTGTTCTATGCAGGGAAAATGTTAAACTTGGGTGAATTAAATGAATAAAATAACTATTTATCTTTTATTTTGTTCATTATGACTCCACCCAAAAATATTATACCTGTGGGTAGGAGTTTATTCATCCCCAAACAGAAGCAAAATCTCCCTACTTCTTAAAAATAAGTGAACTTTTGAGATCTTCTCATTTTAGGAACATGAACCATTGTCTTTTTGTGCTGACTGTTATGTAAATCAAGTGATCTGTCGTTGTCAACCAGTATTATGATAGAGTGTTGTCAACCAGTATTATGATAGATATCTCTCTTGGAACCTTTCGAAAAATGGTAGCATGAGGCCTTCTCAGCATGCAAATAATTCAAATATGAAGAAAGGGAGAGAAATAAATAAAATCAAGGGGTCTGTTGTCCCTTCTTCTGGATTCTAATGCTGTCTTTATGTTAAGGCAATAGCAGCATTTAAGTTCTAATAGAGACAGAATACAAGGAACCTTTCTATTTGCCACTGGGACGAGTTCTCAGTGGCATAAATCAGTAGTTAGTAGCTCAGAACATAGATTGTCTATAGAAATGGTGGAAGTTGGACATTAGGCTGGCCTCCAGAGACCTGCTTAATTCATAACAGAGGCTCTATAAATCTGTTAAATGAATAAATTAACTTTTACATGATTCCCTAACCTGGATGTACATCAGAACTACCTGGGGAGTCTAATGGGAATCTGGGTTTTTGAATTAAGTAACTCTACCATTACCTTGTTTTGTGGGGGCTAGAAGGAGGATAACATATAGGGCAGAAAAAAAAAGGGTAAAGAAAGTTTTCATCTATTTCTGAGGTATAGAGTAACTAACACCTGTCAAATTTGAAAGGTGCATTTCTCGCTGGGCTCCTCTTCTGCCTTGCAATATGTTCTTTCCCAGTCTCCTGGACATCTATCTAGTCCCTTCTTGCTGCCCTAAGCTGCCTGCTGGGTACTTCCCCTAGGACTGCCACCTTGTTCATGGGATCCATGTTCCAAATTGCCTGGCCCAGCCTCTCCTCTCTGGAATCAATTAATACTCCTGCTTTATCAGTAGCTCTCCAAGTGGATGAAAGAAAGAATAGCCTTCAGCACTTCTAGAGGTGTGTGTATGCACTTTAAAAGACTCAGATTGGTACTTTGGAAGTGTAAATAATATAAAGTAGAGTAACCCAGATGGTTCAGAGTCTGCAGGGCTTGGAGAATGAACCAAACCGGCAGAAGGAAGGAGTGAGGACTCAGCAGGCCAGCACTGGCAGGAAGCCGACCCCAAGACTGCTCCAAAGAGCAGGGGCTGCTGCTCTGTCCAATTTGACCCTGTTATTAACTACTATCTTTCCATATTTTTTCTTTTTGATATAAAATGTGTAAGCCTTGTCCTTCTGAAAAAGTTGTAAAATCTTTGAGTGTAGGGAAATCCTACATGTAGTACCTCTTTTGCTTTCCCTTTAAAGTGTTAAGGCATTGGATATACTCTTTTTGAGTTGAATTGGGTTCTTGGTTATCTGGTGGGATTCATTCTATTCATTTAATTTTTAGACATAAAAAAGTGAATGAGAAAAAATAATTCTTAAAGTGTAATTTTTAGTACATAATTATTTATGTATCTGTAGTTACATTTTACCTAATATATGTAAACATTTTACATAATCGTGTAAAAAATACAGCTTTTTATTAACATTACACATCTTATTTTAAGGGTTCTAAAATTCTAAAGGCATATCATGAAAGAAGCTAATTTAGTTATGTTGTTTTTTGTTCTAAGATAGTGTTGAGAAGATTTAATGATGGCTTTCTCTTAGAACTTTTGGCAACTAGGCATTTAATTTAAAAAAGAATTGTACAAGAGAAGTGAGTAAAAAATATATCCACTGTGGAGAATTTCTTTATAAGTTTTAAATATTAGAGAAACACAGGTTGCCTAGGAGTGAGAGTTGAGAATCTTGAATGGGTGATAGCAACAGAGATCACTGAAAGCAAACTTTGGTTCTTTCCACCTGCCTCTTAGCTTTGTGCTGGGCAGGACTGGCAAATAAATGTGCAAGACCCTCTTTCACTATTGCAGTTGACACTTCTGGTAACTGAAACAAAGTCATTAGTAGATTCTACTAATAACTCCTATATGACTGCCTTGCAATAGAATTTCTTCTTTTTAACAGCGTGACACAGCCAGGTGTTTCTGACTCATTGTCTACGAAGTGCAATATGGTCTGTGAAATATGGCAACAGAACGAGGAAAAGCCATGCTGCTGCTTCCAATTAGGACAGTCCCTAGTGGTGTCATTCCAGTGATATTTGCCTCAGTTTGCCTTGCCTCTGCATTTAACATCGTTCTTGAGGAGGGGTAGAGTGTAGAGGTTAATAGCATGACCTCCGGAGCTGGCTGCCAGGGCTGTTCTCCTGGCTCTGCAATTTACCATCTGTGTGACTTCTCTGTCTCAGTTTTGCCATCTGTAAAATGGAAAACAGCACAAATCTCATCGCTTGTGAGATGTTAATCAATTCATACAGCATCTGCATATGCTTCCTTCGAGTCTGAACTGAGTGGAGCAGCCAGACTGATTCCTTCAAAACATGACTCGGATCACATCACTTTTCTGCTCAACACTCTCAGTAGCTCCTGCCTCCATTAATGTGAAAACCAGTGTTCTTGCTGATGTACTGTGTGGTCCTGCGTATTGGGGATTACTGACGCCTCTTTGACTTCAGCTTCTGCCTTCTTCCCCTTTGCTTACTAAGCTCTAGGCTCACCAGCTTCCTTGCTTCAAACACACCAAGCATGTTCCCTGTTCAGGATATCTGCATAGGCTTTTCTCTCCTCTTGAAATCCTTACAGCTCACTCCCTCATTTCCTTTAGGTTTTATCCTGAAGCCTCCAAAAGCAACTCCACCTAACAATACCTTCTCTTCAGCTTTCTGTATTTTTCTCCCACAGCACTTTACACTATCGAATACATTCTGCATATACTTATTTGCTTGCTATCTCTGACTTCTTACTAGAATGTGAGCTTCATGAAGGCTCAGCAGCTACAATGCCTCACCCATAGGAGGTACTGAATAAGCATTTGTTTGATGAATGAATGAATGGATAAAGGCATGAATAAGAGTACTTAGAACAGTACTTGACACACCTGACGTCAGCTGTCATTGTCATCATCATCATCATCATCATTGCTCACAGGAATTGAAATCTCCCCTGTATTGCCCCTGGAATATTAGTAGTCAAAAACCTGTTGATTCAGAAATGATAATGACAACTTACCTTTGTTCATGTTCTCTTTGGGCACTAGTCAGTCCTTAGCTACAGTCACTAGAGGCAACTAAATACTGTATGAATTTTGCTGCTTATGTTTTATTGTGTGACGATGATGGCTAAGACCTGGCTTGAGCAAAAGTGTGATGCAAGTTCAGTTTGGCATACTTCATCTCTCTTTTCTGCACTTTTCTTCTTTTTATGGGCTTTCTGATACACAGACCAAGGCTCTTTTTCTCCTATTATGGGAAGAAGTGTCTTATAGACAAACTCAGAGTTGTTTTATTAGTGACTTTAAGTATTATTTCTCAGAGATGTTTAAATTTCATGACAGGGCACTAGAGAGGGTAATGCTTACCCCAAAGTTTTGAATATCTAATAGTGGATGCTGTTGACGTGTGGTAGTGCTGGGAGGCAGACAGCAGAAGCCTTTCTATTGCCTTTGAAATAACATTATGAAGGAGACAACTTCTTAGGTTCATGCACAGTTAGTGGCTTAGATTACCTCATTCTTCATCATAGTCTTCTGAACAACAGAAATATGAGAGGGTAGAGGACAGCAATCAGTCCCAATAATATCAAAGTGCTTTCTAATTATGCTTTTCTTTCTTTCATGTAAAACTTGAAATAGTTGTCATATTATAAGTATAGTGAAAAGAGCATGGGGTTGTGAATTAGAACTCCTGGCCCTGTCTCCAACTAAGAAATATTAATAGTTCCCTGAAAAGGCCTCAGTGAGACATGCATGGAGGATGATCTTCAATAATCTTCCAGATCTGAAATGAATGATTTCTAGAGTTCTGTAACTAAGTGGAAGTTGACAGCTGAAAGATTCAGAAACAGACAGGAAAGGGACTCTGCAATTCAAGAAAATCATTAAACTACTTTCAAGAGGACAGAATTAGAAGGATAACACCTCTCACTCAATGAACCCTCTGATTAACTTCTATTTTCATACTACAGAATCTGGGGCTCCAAGAAGTGGAGGAGAATGCAGATTCCCAGGGGCATGTGTTGTGCCTCAGTGATAACAAACTACTTCATTGCCAAAGGACGTGCATCTCTCTGTTGAGGAAAAATCTCACCCATTATGTGTAGGGGTAGAACCTAAGGGAAAGTTTGTACTGTGACCACCCATGTTTTGTTTGGCTCTAGTTAACACCATTATTTTTCTCCTTTCATGTTTTAAATGGGGTGAAATTTGCAAGCAGAAAGGAAAACACAAACCCAAGATCTTTTACTATATTTGTGTTTTGTGAAAAGTAAATTGAAACCAAATGAATTCAAGTCTGATATTTTTCTTAATAGACTAAACTAAAAATGAGTGTGTTTCCCAGTTCCCCCAGTCGGAGCCTTGCTATGATTTTAGATGCTCTCTCAGTGGGCTGTGAGTGACCTCTGGTCCTTATCAGAGGAAAAGAAATTCATGCTATTGTCTGACTATCCTCTTGTTTTGCTTTCATCTTGTAAACAAGTCCTTCTGACGTTAGGAGCCTGACGCAAAATTATGAAGCTATGCAGGGACGAGTGGAAAGGCCTGTACATGAGAAGCTACTAGAACTTTCTAAGTATAAGTCAGACAGCCCACATGTAGAGATGGAACTTCCAGAAAATAACCAGAAGGTGGTCCAAATGCCCAACATACACACATCCAGGGTGTGTGTATATGTGCAAACAACACAACTTAAAGGATGACTCAGTCGTGTTTTGGTAGTGACAGTATGTCTGGGCCTCTCAAATTTCAGAATCAGCTGATTTAAGAAATTTAGAAAACAGTCATATTTTCTCTTGAGATTTTGGTAAAGCTGTGGTAAAAATGGAAAAAAGGCAGCCAAAATAGTTTGGCAGAATTAGGAATATTCTTTCAGATACTTCGTCACTTCTGCCTGATAAATGACGAAGATGACATTTGAAGCCTTCTCTAACAGTGAGGAGGTGGTGAGAAACTTGCTGCTTGTCTAAAAGGTACCAAGTGGGGCCAGAAAAGCCTGAGGGTGCATGTCTATGCTGTGAGAGAGTGAGCCCGTGACTCCCGGCGGAGTGGTTCGTCTGTCTGTGCCCGTCCTTCTTCTGTGATCACCAGCTGTGGAACCTGGAGCACATCATTTCACCCTAGTTCCTTTTTTTTCTTCTAAAAAAAAAAACAACCAGGATACACGTGCAGAACGTGCAGGTTTGTTCCATAGGTATACGTGCATTTGATGCTATTTCATGCTCCACATCTATGAAAATAAAGGAGTTTACACAGTGATCTCTGAGCTTCCCTGTGCCCCCGTATCTTGAGCTAGCATCTTGGTTCTCAGAGCAGCAGTTTCTGTATCACTTGGGAGTTAGTTAGAAATGCAGAGTCTCAGGCCTCAGTCCACATGGACTGCGTTGGAGTCTGGCTTTTCATGACATTCCTAGATGACTCATGTGCACATTAGCACTGGGGAGGCGCTGCTCTCTAACCTTGTTTCTCACTCATCTAATTACTTCATCAAAAGTCAGGAATTTCAACACACTTCCTGAGTGGGACTCTGTACGAATTGTGACTAGACTGTTTAATCTGTAATTAAAATGTTAACAAATAATGTATGTGTAAGAGAGTGTGTGTATGTGAGGTGGGGGAAAGAGAAAGAAGATAGCGATATTTATTCAGAATGGAAAATTTGCTTGATTCTTAAAATACTGATTAAAATTTTTTAGCTCTTTTTTCTCCCTTAGAATGGAAAATTAACTATGTTTTTGGTTAGAATGGAGAAAGCCCTGTGCTTAGGGGGCAAATGTATTTGAGAAAGTAGAATAAAGCCTAAAAAAGAAATGTCTATAAAAAGTCTTTCAGTTGAAGTTCTCAGATAATTTCTCATTATATTATCTGATGTTAATTATATTCAGATAAAATTACCTTTGTTCACCCGTCTGTCCAAAGTGCAGTGCTAGGTTCTGCAGAGGACAGAAACATCATAGGATTCTATGATGTGAGGGCAGGAAGAGGAATGTGGACAGATTCAGTCCTTCTACCTTCCTTACCATGCAGATGAGAAGACGAAGGCAGACAGGCTGTGATTTACCAGTCCAGTGTCACACAGATGACCTAAAGGCAGAGCCAGGCCTAGAAATCATGTCTTGGAAGGTAGATTAGGGACATTGAAGATCAGTTCAGAGACTTGCAACAGTTCAAGTAAATGTTAATGAGGGTTTGGTCAAATGTTGATGGTGTGAGTGGAGGAGAGGCCACAGGTGAGAGAAATGGCTGGAGTAGATAGAGTCTCTAGAACTTGGATAAGCCTTGGCTGTTGGGTAGTAGCAAAGTAGGGAAGTGGCTGTAGAGTTTGGATACGTGTGATGGAGAGAATGGTATTTGAATGAACATTTGTGTGTGTGGTGAGGGGAGGTTTTAGTTTTGACTTTATCACGTGGAGAAACCCAGGAGCTAGCCTGTAACTATTCCACCAGTGGCACTTGTTTCTGCTTTTCACATCCTACCTCATTTTGGTGGTTGTTCTTTACTTCTTCAAATTTGACTTATCTTCCCCTTTTCTTTTTTTTTTTTTTGAGACAGAGTGCAGTGGCGCGATCTCGGCTCCCTGCAACCTCCCCTTCCCGGGGTTCAAGCGATTCTCCTGCCTCAGCCCCCTCAGTAGCTGGGACTACAAGTGTAGGCCACCATGCCCAGCTAATTTTTGTATTTTTAGTAGAGATGGGGTTTCACCTTGTTGACTAGGATGGTCTTGATCTCTTGACCTCGTGATCTGCCCACCTCAGCCTTCCAAGATGCTGAAATTACAGCTGTGAGCCACCCCACCCAGCCAATCTTCTCCTCTTCTATGAAGCATTCCTTGACTATCAAACTGCACTGTACTCCCCCTCTAACGCTTGGAGCTCATGTTAGCGGCATCACTATTGAGTACCTAATGACACACAACTGCAGGTGATCTATTTTATTCATCATTAACACTGACATTTGTCACTCAACAGTCTCCATCTCTATCCTGGAAAATACAATCTAATTGGAGAGACGCATCATAAATAATAAATATACACACCATACATATACAGAGCAATTTCAGATGGTGACAAGTTGTAGAGAGAAAAATCAAATACAGTGATGTGATGGAGCCTGGGAGCAACTATTGTATGAATTTTTCAATGGAGTGGTTTACCTTCTAATCGTTTATGTTTTCTTTCTCCAACTAGAACATAAGGAAATTGAGGGCTGAGGTCCAGCTTTCTGTTATTTGGCACCCTTCATAATTTCCTCTGAAATCAGTGAGTGAGTTGAACCCTTACTCTAGATCCTTCTCTAACATCAATTCTGCAATTTCTCTCACACAAATATTTGTGTTCTGAACTGGCCAGGTGGCACTAGTGCTATCAGTAAGAAGAAAAATACAATTTGGTATGAACTGGGTTATAAATTAGGAAGTGAAGAAGAAATGCTCGGATGTGTGTCCACAAATCTTTCCAAAGAAATTGGTCTTCCAAGAAGTAAGCAACTGCACTGACTCGAGTATCTCATGTCTTTTAACTATCTTTGGTCAGTGAGAATTTGTAGCACTCATTGTTAAAATTGTGTATTTTTCAAGATAGAGTCACTCCTAGGTGCTGAAAGATTCTCAAATCACCTTTCTAGTGCCAAAGCACTTTCAGTTAACTCCCTAAACCATGCTTTTATCTCAGCTTCCCCAATTTCTTTAGGCAAGGCCAGCATTTTAAATTTGGTTGTTTTCCTTTTAACTTTCTAATCTGACTAATTTAATTCTGAGTCATAAACTTATAAAGTTTATTAGCAGATCTAATCATCTCAAAGTTCTCTTTATAGCAGCTACCTCTTTAATGTCTCCTGTAGTTAACAGGAAACATTTGAGAGCTCAAATAGACACCTGAGCTTTTTGTGTTAGTTTAAATTTTTGCATATTTCAGGTGGGGATTATAGCAAACAAACTAAATTAAATGTTATTTTGTTAAATGTGAAAACTCAAGAAAAAGGTGGGTTTAAGAGGTTGGTTGTGAGAATGGGACAAGGTAGATCCGAATCAGTTATAGCTAAGTCATTCTCCGGAATGACAAAATAAACCCCTATTTCCGAAACTTTGGTTACCACCTTAAACTCTGGTAGTCAGAATCTGGGGTGAGCATGGCTGGTTTCAGTGTCTGCTATGATGGTGCATTAACAGCGTGACCCTGGGGAGTGATGAAAGGCTGTTCAGTGTCTCTGTCTCTGTGCAGGAGCCTTGGCCTGTGCAGACCTCCAGTGTCTTTGGTGCTGTGCTGTCTGCCTGTCCTCTCAAAGGGATGTTCCTTCCAATCTGCTCTTCCATCTTTAGTTTTCTTCTTTGGCCCTGTTTGAAGATCTGTTTCTGCCTTAGCTGCTCTTGGTTGCTCTGGGTGAAAGTATCACAACTGTCAGACTTATCCTCCTTGGTCCAGGCCTCTCCTGGTAGGTTCCCCTAGCAGATCCTTCCTACCCTTGAGTATGGGACCTGGAAAAGCTCTAAATCCTATTAATCTTGAGAATACTTGAAAGAAGTTATTCTTAAATATCCAGGAATTGAAAGTACTATAGAAGTTGAAACTTGATATCTTCACTCTTTCTGTTTAGTCTGTCAGATGTTGGGATAAACAATATTTAAATTTCTAGAGCTTTTAATGAAAAAACCATTTACCTTTATACTCACTTAGCTGATCCACCTTACTTTGTTTTCTAATTCTTTTTTTTTTTTTTCTTTGAGATGAAGTCTCGCTCTGTCACCCAGGCTGCAGGGCAGTGGTGCCATCTTGGCTCATTGCAACCTCTGTCTCCTGGGTCAAGTGATTCTCCTTCCTCAGCCACCCAAGTAGCTGGGATTATAGGCACCTGCCACCATGCCTGGCTAAATTTTGTATTTTTAGTAGAGATGGGGTTTCACCATTTTGGCTAGCCTGGACTCAAACTCCTGACCTCAAGTGATCTGCCCACCACAGAATCCCAAATTGCTGGGATTACAGGTGTAATCCCAGTGACTACTGCTCCTAGCCTGTTTTTAATTCTTTAACAAATTTTCAGTTATTCTCATGTGCCAGGCTGGGTGGGGGGGCAAGGATTCCATGTATAACGATGAACAAACCTTAGGTGCCTGCTCTACAGAGCTTATATTTTGTGCAATACACGTGAAAAAGAAGGAAATCTACAAACAAATGATTACAAATTGTGGTAACGCTATGATAGAAACAAAAGTGGAAGAGAGACAGGACTGGGAAAGCAGGAAAAGAGAAGGAGGGAAAGGTGGAGAGAGAGAGAGAGAGAGAGAGAGAGAGAGAGAGAGAGAGAGAGAGAACATCCAATTCAGCTAGTCTTCTGATTTTTAATTATTTTTATTTTTTATGGATAAACTTGACCACTGACTAAAAATCTCACTCATGGTGATGAAAAAATTCTTCAGTTTTCTCTTGGAATTTTTTGATACAAAATAAGAGACCATGACAACTTAATTATCTTAAGGCTTATGCTGGTTTATTACCACAAATGGCTTTTTAATTGTTTAAAACTCATTTATGCTTTTCTCTTAAATTTTAACCATTTTCTTCTAATCTCTTAAGATTAACATGCTTTGTGGGGACCACTTTGACTAATATAAAATATCTCCTGAGTAATTTTAATTTGATTACATGTTCAAATGATAATATCTCAGAAATATTGGCTAAATAAAATATATTATTGAAATTAATTTTACCTGTTTCATTTTACTTTTTAAATGTGACTATCCGATAATTTATAATTATATATGTGGCACTCATATTTCCATTAATAGTAGTAGTACTGCTATAGGATCTTGGAGTGAAAATTTATTTATTATTTGGTTGGATTGTGGTTTAAGATGAGTACTAACCAATACTAAACAAAAGGTTTGGTTGCAGAGGGTGTAAACTATACTCCCTAACATGTGTCATTGATAAGGGTTTACTGCAGCTTTGACTCCTGCCAGCAGTAAAACATTTCTTGAGAATGAAGAAAACATGCATTTTGCTCAGTTCCTAGCTTCCTTTCATGCTTGACATTTTTGTTATTTGACTAAACATTGTAAATCAGATGATCTTGTCACGCTGAAGGATGGTGATCTATCAATAAAGCCCTGCAATCTTATATAAGATAAAGAGGTTAAGAACGAAGAATCCCTCAAAGGAACAGAGATTTACAGGTAGCAAGGAATTGAAGAATGAGGAAGATAAATGATAATTTAGGTTTATCTAGCTTAAGACAAATACTGAAATTAACTTTTGTTTTGACACATTTAGTTTGACAATTCTCTGATGTGATGATCTTGTTAAGCTATGAGGGAGAAGAAAAAGATCATTTTCAAAGAGTGAACATGGCACCACGCAGTTCTTTTCTTCCTTTTTTTTGAGATGAAGTCTGACTCTGTTGCCCACGCTGGAGTGGAGTGGTGCGATTTTGGCTCTCTGCAACCTCCACCTCCCAGGTTCAAGTGATTTTCTTTCCTCAGCCTCCTGAGTAGCTGGGACTACAGTCACCATGACCAGCCAACTTTTATATTTTTAGTGGAGATGAGGTTTTATCATGGTGGCCAGGCTGGTCTTGAACTCCTGACCTCAAACGATCTGCCTGCCTCAGCCTCCCAAAGTGCTGGGATTACAGGTGTGAGCCACTGTGCCCAGCCACTTTTTCTCTGATGTAAGTACAATGATCTGTCACACAATGATAGTGATGTGTTGTGAGAAATGTGTTGTTAGGCAATTTTGTCATTATGTGAACATAATAGAGTGTACTTACACAAACCTTGATGGTAGAGCCTGCTACACACT